GCCACCGGGATCCACGGGATCCATTGGGATCCACCGGGAGCCACCGGATCCATTGGGATCCACTGGGATCCGGGATCCGCTTTTTCCCCCTTGGTTTCTGGCGTCATCTCTACAAATACAAAATAGTTTTGAAGGAAAAACTGATGTGTCCTATAATTGTCTAATGTCTGACATATGAACAATCCAAAAGATAAACAAAAGAAATGAAGCAACGTAGTTCTGGTGATTCTCTCCACGATATAATCAGATTCAATTTGGTAATAAAGTAAGCGTTCAAATAATTTATTCAAATTATTCAAAATAAATTCCAAAGTTTTTCTAATTTCTTCATATATATGGAAAAGAAGAAAGTTAGTTGTTGAATATTCTTGTGATTTCTATCGTTATCCAAATTGATTACTTCATGTATCAACAAATATGAATGTTCAAATACCGTCTCTTCAGGAAATAAAACATAAATGTTTCTGATTAAAATCTTTCAAATGAAATCTTTTTATTATTGTAATATCGCTAAGAATTCTAGAGAACCGAGCTTAGACTTATCATTGATGAATTGGAATATCTATCTTAGCTCCTTGTTGGGTTAATAAAGAATGGTATCCAATTTTGTACGAATTAGCTGCTGACTATCAAACTAGAATGAATATTATTGCATCACAAATTTCTTCTCTTAACTATAATGTCACCATAGTTCAAGAAGCTCAAGAAAAGATTATTTCATTACTCAAAGAAAAATTGGGTGACAATTACTTATATCAATTTGCACCAAACAATTCAACTTCAGCTTCAGTTGCTAATGGACTTCTTACATTGATAAAAAAAAGATAAAATAATCTTTTTCGATATTATTCTCAATTCAAATATTATTGATGAGATCGTTTGACTTTATTTTATTGATTCTTCTATCAGCATAATTGATTATAATTATGTGAGTTATTATAAAGAAACAATATATCAAAATGATCTGTGAAAGTTTTGTATTTTAGATAATACAGATGTTGTGATAGCAAACATAGTGAAAATGTTAAATTCATATGTTTAAAAATTTTTCTGTAAATGTTTAATATATTATATAACTGATTTTCATTTATTCGATAAGCGCGCTGCATTCGTTGACAATTATTGCAATATGAAATTCGTTATCTTTTGCATCTTGCCATTAGGATCAATATTCATAGAATGATATTACAACTAGTTTTTTGAAAAGCAATTATAAATGTATAAGAAATCTAACATTAATTTACAATTGTACTAGATTTATCGATCTGTATAGAAGAAGTACGATGGTTGAAAATAACTTCAAAACCTACATGATATTACGCAGGTAAACTATCCAATTTGAAGTTGATACAGAGATTTAGTTTTGTTTGCTTATAAATTCAAATCCGTTCTATATATGAATGACTGATAGCTGAGCATATAAAATATTTAACATGAATTTAAATAGATTCTGAATAGTTCTAAAAAAGTTCTATGTTAGAGTGCTCATGAATAAATAAATTTTTCTAGTGACTATAATCAAATATATATTGTTTAATAACGAAAAAATGTAAATTTTACTTTAGTATAAAGTACGAGTAAAGTAGTCTAATACAGAATCAATGATGTTGTAATGTTCTTTTTTTTCGATAAAAACTATTGAATAGAAAATGTTCTGTGTTGTCCTTGACCTTGTTAGTAGAGATTCATTTTAACTTGAAGATAACAAATTTTTTTCTTATTCTTTTATCTGAAAAAAAGAAAATGATTGATTTAATGTGTTATTAACATACAAACAAAATCCTATGGAACAAAAAATTCCTTGAACTTTAACATCAGAAAATTCATATAATCATCGTATTCATTCTTCAAAAAGTGACACATCACATAAATGGATTCGTTATATTGTTGACTATGTTACGATAACATTAATATTTGGTTTAATAATATTTTTTAATAATTTTGGATATTCCAATATGTATGCTTGTTATTGGTATTCGTTATCGTAATCAATATTATTGTTCAATTGAACTTCGTATAAGTCTTTTTTTTAATTGTTGCTGGATCTGTTTTCATTGAATCGATTATTCTGATAATTTTTTTTGTCATTATTAACAATATTTATTTCTTACAAAAAGTTCAGTAATGACAATGATTAGTTTTCTTATTTTAAGTTTTTTTTATATTTGCTGTAAAAATATTTTCAATAATTTGATTAATTATAGGTAGTCTTTGGACATTTCGTATACGATCTCATGTAGAATATCGAATTAATTATCCTTTTAATATTAGATTATATTGTCATCAAAACATTATATCAATTTATTTTTATTTATATACTAATAGGACTTCAATGTTGTTTTCGTTGTTGTTCAATTATGTTTCGTTGGAAAAAAACAAAAGTAGATAAGTTCTTTAAAATCATAATCTTTATCATCTACTCAAATATGTTATCTATCAAATTTTATCAAAAAAAAATATTCTATGAAAATTTAAACAAATGATCAATGTTGATATCTGTATTGATTTGAAAAATAAATTCGATCTGATGTATTCAACATGGCATATTCAGAGAATCGTTTAGCAACAGATAAACAACGTAAATTTTTGAATAAATTTTTTTTGTATGATTTTTTTTAATAAGTAAAGTATCTCTCATTCAGAAGAAGATCAAACAAAGGACTTTCCTATTTTTTTTTCATGAAAACCTTGTTAATGTCAAGTTCTGCACCACTGGAATTCTTGTCACTATAGTTATGACAATTTCAGAATGAATTTAGTAGTAAGAGGAATTAAATTGTTCAACTTCAATAAATTTGATTGCATTTAATGCAGTTAACACTAAAGCTGTTCGTATGTAGAAATAAGAAATGTGAATAAATTGAATAAATATTCTGTTTCTATTCTCAGCAATTAAGATAAAAGATTAGAATAAAATCGATTCTTTTTCGAATTAAAAAAATAATAATTACAATGAAACTATTTAATCTAATATTTCAACACTAAAGGTAGATCTATTTGATTACAGTCATTTTCAATACGATTAATACATTTCTATCGATTGAAACCATTCTTTTTAGAAGTAATGATTCTTGAACAAAAATAAAGTTCTCATCAGATGATCTGAAACAATTTTAGACATGCCCATAGCGGTATGTAGAGATAAAAGAGCTGTATAACTTAATAATAGAAAATAACTTGATTAAATCATTAAGAAAAAAAATTATTGTTAATGATAAAATAAAATTAAAAAGGGCTCGATATAAATCAGTTGTTTCAACTTCAAAAACATCATGTATTATTGTACCTAAAGCTAAAGCTGCTTTTGGAAGTTGTGTTATTGAATAATACACAGCTAATATAGCAATAAATATTGAATCAGCTTGGGGGTGGGTGTGGGTGTGGGTGTGGGTGGGTGTGGGTGAGTGTGGATGTGGGTGTGAGTGTACAGAAAATTAATACTCACACCCACACCCACACCCTCTTATATTTTATCAGATTTTTCTGACTGACAATCTTGACAACTAACCGTAGATTTTAATTTCCCGACCTGAATCACCTTTGTTCAAACTTTATTTCTTTCAAATCATTGAATATTCGATATCGAAAATCCATGATTGACTGGACTTTTGGTCTAAAAAAATTTGATTGGTCGAAAGACCGAACTCGAAAATGTCTGATTGGTCGGAACATTGGTCCGAAAAAATCTCATTGGTTCCAAGCCTGATATCAAAAACCCTTGATTGGGTGACTATGCATATTGAGAAATCTAGTTTACCAATCTCTTGTTTTTTGACCTTTGACCTTGACAGCCACATACATACATACATACAAACTTTTTTTCTCATATGACCCTCCTTACACTCGAGGGAATATATTTGTAAACATCTTTCTATAAATTCTCGATATTATCTAAGAAATGTATAAAATTCTCCTCGAAAGAATTTTCACGATGAAATAAATATACAATGGTTAGAGAATCGACCATATCATAGAGGAATTTTAGCAAATATTTATTTGCATTATTACATTCGTAAAATGTGATGGAGATGTCTATTCTGGAATAATGATAGTACATTTGTCCAACTAACAGAAGATACGTAGTTCGACTTTCGCAAAGAGATGTATTTTTCTTCATTATTGGTGATGATTTCTAACGAATAGAATCTAAATGTTGTCAATGATTCATTATTAAACGAAGTATCAACGAAGGACACAAATATTATTTCTGATTGGTTCTCTTATTCTTTTTTCCTTTCATATTTTTTTCTATGATACAAAAACCTCTCACGTTTTTTCTTTTATAAAAGGAGTAGCTGTCGTCGATTGACATTTGTATCGTTAGAAAAAGTATGATCGTACAATACTAAAAATAATGAATAAGAATACAAAAATAATAATAATAACATCAGATGAAGATATTATTCAACGTTTCATCTCAAATGAAACCGAAAATACACGAATTATTAATTTAGATGATAAGAAACTAATTAATTCAACGGAAAATCTTCATCACTCATCGAACGTTGTATGTATTTAATTGATAATAAAATAAAAAATTCAATTGTCTATTGTTTAGAAGTCAAATAATGATAATCAAGTAAATAAACGTGCACTTGAGTCAAATATAAATAATGAAGGAAAATCAATTAAAGTAAGAAAAAAATGGATTGATACAGTTTGTGCAATTTGTGGTAATCAAGGTATTGGATATAATTATAATGTTCTTACATGTGCTTCATGTAAGACTTTTTTTCGACGAAATCTTAATGAAGATGTGGTTAGTTAAATTTCGATTGATTTTTTTTAAAGTTCTAATGACTTTTTTTATTTAGGATAAACTTCAATGTTTAACTGGTCAAGGACAATGTTCAATTTCACATGAAATACGTCGAAAATGTCAAAAATGTCGATTAAAACGATGTTTTTCAATGGGAATGAAACATAATTTTGTTAAAAATAATAAAAAAACTCAAGACATTGAAGAAAATTTGAATATTTCATTAGTATCATCATTCAATGAAATTGATCAAGTAAATATTTTCGATTTGAATATTTATTTTTAATGATGAATATAAATTATTTTAGTTGTTGATGAATGAAAATAATATTATTGATTCAAAAATAATTAGCGATACATTATTTTCTCAATTATCTGTTGAAGATTGGATTACAATTCAAAATATTCAATCATCATTTAAATTCTTCTGTGAAATTCCACTAGAAGAAAATTCCAGTCTTATGGATCTATCTGATCACACTTCAGCTCTTATATCTTGGTCATATGTAGGAAGTAAAAATGCAATGTGTTTTATTAATTTTTTTCGTCATATGAAACAATTTGAAGAATTAAATAATGATGATCGTTTTATTTTAATAAAATATAATCTATTTTCGATATTTCTTTCATCAAAAGGTTATTATTATAAACGTACATCTTGTAATTATTCAGCTAAAGTCTGGCAAAAAGAAGATGAAAATAATCGTCGATTTCTTAGTTTATGTGATAGTTCATCATACGATTTAAATAAATTTGAAGATTTAACTAAATGTCTAATAGAACTAACTGAACGAGATCCAATAATTATATCTCTTCTTTCAACAATTTTAATGTTTTCTCCAGGTATATCAATGAATGAAAATGAACCATTATTGAAAGATTCATTAACTATTAATCGAATTCAATGTTATTTTACTAAAATTCTTTGGAATTATTTACTTGATAAATTGGATGAATTACAAGCTTATAAATATTTTATTCAATTATTTATACTGATTTTAAAAATTCAATTGAGAACAAAAGAATTGCGACAATTTTTTCAACATCAATATTCAATAACGAATACTAAAGATAAAGTTGCACCGTTAATGCAAACTATTTTACATTTTCCTTAATTCATTTAAACATTCAATATATTAATTGTACAATTTACAATTCAAATTTTTTAGATTTATTTAAATAAATTTTTTTTTCATATAGATAGAAATCTACCTACGATGAGTTATTCTTTTTCGTTGTGAAACAACTGAAGTAGATCGAAGAATATAATCTCTATTTTAATAGTTTTTATGCTTTCTTAATGTTTATTAATCAATGAAAATGAGCCACCATTGAAGGACACGTAAAGAGTTGATAGAACTCAATCTCAAGGATAATAGAATATTCAAATGAAACATTCTTCAGTCTTTTGTACTATTCATATAATGATTAAAAAAAGTTTCTTCAATTAAAACTAGATTTGAATTTCTCTCAGTGAGCACAAATAAATCATATAAGATTTTGTATACTCCTAGAATATAATCAATCAAGGGTCAAACTAGAAACATACAGAAAGAACACATTTTCATAAGAAACACAGATGAATCATGTAATACCTTTTACGTCTTCACCACATAAACGATGAAAGGTAAAAGTAGAAACGTACAGAACGAACTTTAGGTATGTTTTATTTCAAGAATATAAAAGCACGTTCTCTTTCCTTTTTCTTCATAACCTTGTCGTATTCAGTGATTTGATATTTTATTATTTTATCTTTTCAATAATTTCAAAACTTTGTTACTTGTAAGTAAATTACAGTCTTAATCTTGTTATTCTTTTCTACAGTTTTAAAATTTTTTTTGTGAATCTAGATTGAAATTCGAATTATGTTTCAACCAGCACCACCACCTCCAACTATTTTGGGACGATATCGTTTATTGTCCCCGACAGCAGCTGTTCGAGTGTCTCCATTATGTTTAGGTGCTATGTCTATTGGTGATGAATGGAATGAATTCATGGGTACAAATTCCAAAGAAAATTCATTCAAAATTCTTGATGCTTTTTATGAAGCTGGTGGAAATTTTATTGATACTGCGAGCAATTATCAAAATGAACAGAGTGAAACATGGTTAGGAGAATGGATGGCAAAACGAAAAAATCGTAGTCAAATGATTATTGCAACAAAGTTTACAACTGGATATCGATCAGATTGGAAAGAAGAACCGATTCATGTCAATTTTGCAGGAAATTCAGCAAAATGTTTACATGAAAGTGTTAATGCTTCTTTAAAAAAACTTCAAACTGATTACATTGATCTTCTTTATGTACATTGGTACGAATTTAAATCCATTTAAAAAAAAAAGTGATAATTTCATATACGCTTTTTTCTTCTGTTTTAGGTGGGATTATACATGTTCAATTGCTGAACTGATGCAATCTCTTAATCATTTGGTTACATCAGGTAAAGTAATTTATTTGGGAATAAGTGATACACCTGCATGGATTGTTGCAAAAGCAAATCAATATGCAAGAGAGCATGGTCTTCGGCAATTTTCAGTTTATCAAGGATTGTACAATGCTGCTGTAAGAGATGCTGAAAGAGAGATTCTTCCAATGATTCGAGATGAGGGAATGGGTTTTGCACCATGGGGAGCTTTAGGTGGAGGAAAATTCAAAACAAAAGAACAAATAACAGCAATGGAAAAGGAAGGTGATAAAGGGCGATCATTTTCTGGTATTCTACAAGGTAATTAATGTTTCTTTTCTAATTAGAATAAAACTTCATTCAATTAATTTAGGTCCAAGCAAAGATGATCAAGCAGTGACTGCTGTTTTGGAGCAAATTGGCAAATCGAAAAATGTTTCACTTACACAAATTGCTTTATCTTATGTAATGGCAAAACAACCATATATTTTTCCTATTATTGGTATTAGAAAATTGGAACATTTACAAGATTCTATAAATGCATTAAATATACGATTAACCAAAGAAGAGATTAAACAAATTGAAGATGCATACAATTTTCAACTTGGTTTTCCTCATAATTTTATAGGATTAAATCCAAGTCAAAGTTGGGGTTTACATTTCGTAGGTCATTACGATTGGGTCGAACAAGAAAAGAGTATAAATGCCAGTTAAAAATAAACATTTTCAAGATTTTTATATTATAAACTTTTTCGAAAACTTCTTTTCAATAAACTTTTGATCGCAGTTCTATAAATCATCGCTAGACAATATATTTCAAACATCCAAGATATTACTATTATCTAAGTGCATTCATCATGTCTGAGAATTGTATAGGATGTAGTTAGATAGAATCAAACATTTTTTAATGTATAAAGACGAAATAAACTTGAGAAAAGTAATCATTATTTTTTGAATTATTATCAGATAAACAAAGGATGGACGTAAGGGTTGAGTTTGATATTATAAATAAAAGAGTTTGAACATAAATAATAATGTCATCATCACTTGTCTACGAAATCACAAATGGAGTTAAATATTTGCATCCACATGAATATGTCCCGATAATTACGAAAGACTTATTAAGAAAGATCATAAAACCAGAACAGAAATCGAACCGATCTTGAGGATAAATACAAGAATTAAATCACCACGACGCATTTCGACTGAATTTCACAGTCTCATCAGGTGGTTTATTAAAAATCTGCATAAAAACTAAATGAATCCCTAAATTAGTAAGAATTCAAAAGAATTCGTCCAATATTAAAGAAAATTTACTATTTGATTGGTAGTTATTATGGTTTGAATTTAGTCGAAAAGGTGGAAATAGAATAGTAGGAGGTATTAGAACATTAATAAGAATAAGTCAACTTACTTGTATTGAAATTAAGATAAGGAATAAATATTATGATTGAAGACGAGCTTTTATATACCATTTTCGTCATCAATCAAATGTGGGCGCAGTATATATGTAAAAAATTTTATATGGGGGTAGATATTTTGAGTGAGAAAAATCCATTTTTGAGTATGTATGTATATATGATGAAATGTAATTGCATAGAAAAGGGAAAGAATTTATCCTAAGAACGTTTCATTCTTATGATAAACATAAAAACTTGGTATTTATTCTTAAAACATGCAACAATGTCTTACTCATTCTTTGTAAACAATAAAATAATGAAAGAAAACGTTTTCAGGGAAATTTTCCATTTAGAATGTCGTTGAAGAATGCTAATTTATATTTACATAATGATACCTTCTATTTAGTGTTGATACTATCACTCTTTTAAAGATTAAAATGTTATTATGTTGCATTAATTGATCGATTGTGATTGTTCTACAATTGACAGTTATGAATAATAATTATCTGATACTCTTGTTTATTTATCGCTGTTGATATGGTTTTTCAAAACAAGTGTTGTTATCGTTCAATAATATCATATGAAAATAGATATCTAGAATATTGTGCTAATTATAACGAATAATTCTGAAACAGATAGAATGGTAGTAAATGACAGACTCTTTTTTCTTTTTCTGATAAAGAATTAGATTGTCTTTCATCATCAGGTAATTTTACGATTTCGTTTTTCTGTTCGTCTCAATGCATATAAGATATTTATATTATTGTTGTTGCTATACAGGAGGACCAAATTATATCAGACTTAATCAAAGTTTTCTTTATTATAAGAAACAAAGTCAACGACACACTGAAAAAGAACTTAATGCGGTTCTTGAAAAAGTTACATCTCATCTTAATCATCATTATCGTATATCATCCCAAATTGTTAACTACGCAACAAATTGCTAATCATCTTGAGACAATTTTCAATGACCGATATGTAATTTCATTATCATATCTTGATATATATCGTATTCGAAAAAATATTAAATTAATTCATTCAATAAAAAGTAAATTAAAGAATGAACGATATATTTTACGTATTACTGATAAGAGTAACGTTTTTCATATTGGTAAAAAGATTGATTATGAGAAAAAAGTCGAAAAATATCAAAAAGATACTGATGCTTACATTGAATTATCATCAGATCCTTTATTAGAACAATTTTATAAAGTTGTCCGTCTATTAAATGATTTAAATAGTAGTAAACAAATTACACAACGGCAATATAAAAAAATGATGCCTGATCAAAAGAAAATCTTTATGAAGTGATTTTTCTCAGGAAGGAACACCATTGCGGCCTATTATTTTATCTAGAAATGCACCAACAACAGGTGTATCAAAGATATTAGATCTATTAATTCGACCATTATTTGGTAAATATGTTAACCCTTTGGGGACGGGTTTTTTTTTCTGTATATTTCGTCATAAATCATTCAACGTTTCTATTTTCTAAAAGAACTTATAATCTATTACTGGATATCTGAATAAAATAACCTAATTACAATCCAAATTATACCAAAAAACTCTCTGATAAATGCTTTCACAAAAACTAATCTCATATAGGAATCTGCGTGTTTTGAGATGCTAGAGAATCGCCATGGCCCCTTAAGGGGCCAACCGTCCCCAAAGGGTTAAACAGACAACAATAATCAATGGTGTTGATCTTATTCGTCGTCTTCAATTATATGCTAGTTTAGGCCTTTTGAAACCAACTACTCATTCATGTACATTTGATATAACTGATCTCTATACCATGTTGCCACAAGAAGAATCGATAGCTATTCTAAAAAAATTTCTTCACTTTAATCATACACATGTTAAAGGTATGACAGTTGATGCAATAGAACGTTTAGGTCGCATTGTTTTGATTGAAAATGTTTTTATTTCAATAACAAATATTATCGACAAATTAAAGGTGGTGCAATGGGATCACCATTTACTATAACCTTGGCTAATATATTTATGTGAAATTGGGAACAAAAGTTAGTTGAACATCAATAAACATCAAATGAATTGTATTGTCGGTAAGTTAGTTATTTTTGTGTGGCAAAATATTTGAATATATGATATACTTTTTTTTCTATCGCATTTTCTCCATCATAGATATATTGACGATATCTTTTTAAAATCAAATGATTCCATTGAAAAACTTTGTAAAATGTTAGAAGATGCTAAAATATTTCATCCAAATATTAAATTCAACTATGAAATTGATAGTTCCGTTTCATTCCTCGATCTTCATATAAAAAATCAACATGAAAATTCCATTACATCAGTTCATCATAGACCATCAGCTGAACCTTCTACTGTACAATTCAAATCTGATCATCCACGTCATATATTTAAGATAATTATTAAAGGTACACTCCTTCGAGCTATCCGTTATTTATTAGCATTAAACGAATTTAATTGTGAATGACGAACAATTAAATTAATGTTACTCTATTATGGGTATAGTATCAATTATTAAATTTAACTTTTATAGTCGTAGTTTTATTTTATAGATATCCAGTAAGATATATTTATAGTCATTCCAAGAAATTTTTCGCAAATTTTTCTATCATATCCACATCCATCATACCGATGATTCATGATGAAAATGAATATCTTTTATTGCGTCAACAATTATTGACTGAACCAACACTAAGTGAACATGCACGCACATCCAGAGTTGCAAGTCAAATAAACTTCAATACCTCAAATATACAGACTGATCCATTAGTTCAATCGAAATTATTGAAAAGACAACAATGAACTAGTAGGAATGCAATACTCCCACTAAGAGAAGATATGCTTTATATGAAATAGCTGCACATCTACAATCCCTCGCTTCATTCACAACGAATACATGTATAAAAAGGACTATCTTCATTCATATTTCTCATTCTCATCTCTATTCAATCACAAGTAAGTATCTTAATCTTTCATAATGTAATTTCATTAGTTATATTATACTCATTCACTATGGTAAACAAAACATACACGAATACTAATAAATAGGGTGTGGGTGTGGGACTCTTACTTCAATAGAGATCCACACCCACACTCACACCCACACCCACCCTTTCTAATATGTTAAATACTACATTTCTTATATATTAATATCTAGGTTTTATCCAATTGTTTATTAGCATTCAAACAGTATATTAAAATTATTTCTCATTTAAATACTAAGGGTATTCTTAATCTTTTAACATATTATTTTGGATTTATTAATTTATTTTAAACTATTTATATTAAGTAAGTTGTTTTATTTCATATATCAAAACTATTATATATTAATATATCTCTTTTATTTTATTATACAAATGGAAACAATATAAATACATCAAATATTATCAAATTTTTTCCAATATATTTTCCCTAGGTAAACGATATTATATAATGATATCAATAAAATATCTTAACTTTGAATTTATCATACCTTCAATACATCAATGCAATATTATTGTTGCATTTTTTTTTCTTGCTTAGCCTACAACTAGTTGTTTATAAGGTAAGTTTAAGCTTTTTTCAAATTATACTCCATTCATTAATTAATTGATTTTAACTTTCACTTTTTTATATCCAATAGGTCAAAACAAAACAATTTTATACAATTCAAATAGATTATTCAACCTTTTCACTTCAGTGTCCCTGATATTTCAGCTACCCACCTATATAATATACTATATGTATTGCAACGTAACCTATTTAAAAAAATCATAACTTATCATTAATTATAATTTCCATTTTTATGTGAATGTACTCAACACCGATTCATATATACTCTAAGTTACTTTTTCTAACAGGTATGCTATTTTTCTTCTTATCGTGTTATTCTCAAACTTATACCCTTCAAATTTAAAAATTTCTCTTAGTTTTTATTCAGATTTAAACCATCTGATGAGTCCTTGAAATAGGACGAAATCCGGATCGTGGTAGGTCTTTTGTTTAAATTCACCCTCAAGAATAAGAGAATAATGACAAAAGCAGAGAGAATGTCTGAAAATATCGCCAGTTATATATGTTTAACTACGAAAAAGTAAAAGGTGAAGACAAGACGTATATATTGATGACTATAAATAGCCGACCGGTTCAATGCAAATACGGACAGTCTATTTTCTTCTTCTTCTTCTTGTTACTATTCTTGTCTGGTGATCCTTTCTCATTAATCTATCCCCTTCGAATAAAATACATTATTTAACAGCATTTCATTTCTTGAGAATATGAGAATTTCATAATCTAGAATACAAAAAAAACATATGAATAGTGACTTAAGATGACAATACTAAAAAAACCGGTCATGGCAGCTCATTTTTGTACATTATATCTAATTTTTCGAGATATCACATGTTAATTACTGTTAAAACTTTGAAAAATAGATCTATGTGATCGATACATAAGAATGCCGCGTGTGCCATCTGATGAGACCCTTGAGCAAGGTCGAAACCGGTGAGAGGAAGACATACGTTCTCCTCTATCCATATATTGTTGTGAATATCAAATTAAAATGTCTAATATTTATATCTCATTTATCCTTAATAAAGCGATATTAAAATCGACTGAAATTAGTCGAAGTTATTTCCTTCGAATCTTTAATCAGATTCAAGTGATGATAGATTTGATTGATTTCAGTCATTTTTATATAAAGCCGCTAGAGAAAATGTGATATTTTCATATATCAGAGTAAGGAATGATACGAAAGCAAAAGCAGCAGCAGCAGCAGTAGCAACAGGATGAGGAGAAGGACGAAGAGAAGCAGAATAACGAAGAAACAAAATAATCAGAATATCACTCTCTGTACGACACGGATTTAAATATGTATGCTCCGCTTTATTTATATTCTCTAAAGTGAATATCGAATGTGCAGCTATTACATAGCTGAGATGATGAACGAGTGGCTTTAAACTCTTTATTTTATATTTTCATACTCACCCCATCCTCACCCTCACCCTCAAGGTCGCCCTCACTCCACCCTCAAGATTCAGTAAAATGGTCATCACTTTTGACACGGGAACGAATCGATTAATTTGTGGTAGTAGATAATCAATTTGGTTGTTCGAAAGATCAATATCATGAAAATTCGTTGATGCTAAATCATCCAAATCACTGATGTCATCTATGTTATTATATGATACTACTAAACTCGTGAGTATAGCTAACTTTAATGGTAAAAACTTGAGTCAGCAATGCATTGCAGTGAGAACAATCAGTTCAGGAAGACCAGTGAGTGGTTGATTATAAGATAGAATTGCCTCTGTTAAGTTTTCACGATTACCTATATTTTCAGTGAATATTGTTATGGAATTGTTTGATATATTCAATCTAGTAGCCCTAAGAGAAGCATTGTTTATTCCTAATTGATGAAATATAGGGAAGTCTATTTATATAAACTCCATAAGATAACAGTTGTTTTATACTCAATTATGTTTTACTAACAAAAAGAAACAAATTGCATCAATTGAAACGAATGCAGTTGATCCAAATGAATAAAAATACTTAAAAAATTTATTGATTCAAACAATCAAAGAAGAATGAAATCTATATTTTACATTTCTTGAGAGAATTATATCGAACGAAAACCTTCAAGACCGTAAATATTGCTCAAAATCACAAATAAATTAATCTATCGTTCAAATATAACCTGTAGATCGCGCAAAAAAACATCAAATTTTCTGATAAGAATGACAAAAAAGAATAATTAATTGTTCTTTTACGATTTTTGTTCGAATTCAGCAACAACAGCATTATGATCTGTAGCCTCCTTAGTGTCAACAATGAAACAATCTTTTAATTTTCATTCATCATTATTACGAGGACGCCAATATATATAATCAATTCGAGTTCCATATCGAGATGTCGTTACTGATTCATCTTTCAATTGTGGATTTATTTGTTTAAAAGCATCTTGAAAAGCCCATGTAGTTGTTATTAACCGAGTTAGATCAAAACAAGGTCTTTCCCAATTAGATTTTTCACGTACTTGAACAAGATTTTTTTGATAATAATCATCTGAATAATCATCTCGTGTGAGTGCATTCATATCACCCATAAGTATATTAACATTACGTCCAACTGGACTAAAATGGTTAATCTGTATTAATCGATCGTTTTCATTTAAATGATCTAAATGTGTTACAGCAAATATTCGATCTTTAACAAATGGGTGATCACCACCTAAACAACATTTAAAAAAAAATCTTTTTCCACCTAAACTTGCAAAACTGGTTTGTTGATCGTAAGGAGATATAATTGGATAACGAGACGCAATGCCAATGCCATAATAATTTCCGTCACCTGATCCAATATGAGCAAAAGGTAAAGAAAGATGTTTACAGAAGTTTGACCAATGACTATTCTTTTGTATTTCTTGAACAGCAATTAAATCGAGATTGAGCGGTTTAAGAATTGAAATTAATTCTTCGATATTACTCTCATAGTCGGAAGGATTATTAAACGAATGAACATTTATTTTAGCTACACGAAATCTTGTCATGGTTAAACGAATAATGATACAATTTTCATTAAAAATAATATATCCTTTGCATTATTCTCAAAGTTTGTTGAATGCGTTGCTCGTTTCTTCCTACTAAAATGAAAAACGTGGTTTTTTTTTGTTTCTTGGCGTGAGGGTGAACGTGAGAATATAATATTATAGAAGATAAGAGTTTGAAAGCATTACACGACGATTGTCTTGAGGGTGAAGGTGAGGGTGAGTATAGTGGCCATGACCGGTTTCGATTCCACTACGAATCTCATCAGATGGCTTTAACTCTATTTAATTTGTTCGAATTGATCGAAATTCAAAAGTAAAATTTTAATCAAAAACAAAATTGAATAGAATTATCTATCAGAATTCGAAAAAGGTGTGGGTGTGATTCTTCTTTTCACCCACACCCACACCCACCCACACCTACACTCACACCCACGCCCACTCACACCTAACCATAGGTCGAAAACCAAGCTATTGTCTGACATATTTGTAATAAATAATTGTAATTAGTGATCTGTGTGTTGTTCTATAAAGTATACTTGTACATTGTTAAACGTAATCATCTATATACAAGTAGTTTTTTATTGTCACGCTATGGCCTTTTGTATTTGAATTCGATTATGAATATTGTTATTGTCGAACATCCAATGTAGAAAATTTTATACAATATGTCATTTTGAAATAAAGAATGGTTTGAAGTGCAACTTAAATGCATCATCTTCTTGTGAAAAAATATAGTCAGATGTCAATTATTTTAAAGACATCGAGCATCGCAAAATTCCGTTTTAAATCTGTCTTTTTTGTAATCCATAATTAGTATGAAGACACATTCATCGTGTCAATATGTCAGTTTCAATTACAACAATCTGTGGCTGTGAGTTTAGCTTTTTAAGATATTCAAACCTAAAAAATTCACGCCAACATCAGCATCCAAGGTTAGAGAC